ACTGCAATACTGTAATAATTGTATAAATAACATCAACCCATTCATGACTGCATATTAGAATGGCTAGTTGGACGTTTGTTGGACAATGACATCATTTGTTTACTTTTGAACATTGGCAAAAATCAAACATTTCCCCTACTTTGAGCTCCATTTCCAGGTTCTTTTTATAGTAAAATCAATCAAAATCACCTCTATTTCTATAATATGTTTTCCATTCTATCAAATGAGACCAAGAAAACGAGAATACAACCATAAATACTATACGAAAATAGACCACAAAGTCGGCATTTTAATTAAAAAAAACGGTCTGAGTTTTTTTTTCTCATTATGCACTGCGTGCTCCAGGATTTTTTTTATATGGTGCACACTGACCACACAGACCCATTCTCTCACATGTGGGCCTACCAGCTTTCTCCTGCTTGATTTGAAGCCGCTAGAATTTATGAGTATATATACGTGAAACACGGTACCTCGTAAGACGTATATATACGGCCGTGACAGTCAAAGGGTTAAAAAAAAACGGTCGGAGTTTTTTTTTTTTCTCATTATGCACTGTGTGCTCCAGGATTTTTTTTATATGGTGCACACTGACCACACGGACCCATTCTCTCACATGTGGGCCTACCAGCTTTCTCCTGCTTGATTTGAAGCCGCTAGAATTTGAGTATATATACGTCAAACACGGTACCTCGTAAGACGTATATATGCGGCCGCGACAGTCAAAGGGTTAAAGAAGATGGTAAAAGGAGAAAAAGTTCTTTTCATGGATTGAAGCACCTTATTAGCTACTCAAGGTATTAGCTTCAGTGACTATTTGGGAGAATGTTCTAATCATCTACAAATCTGTTGCTAAACCAAGTAATTTTCATTTTTTATTATTATTATTATTATTATTATTATTATTATTATTATTATTATTATTATTATTATTATGCATCTTGAAGCCATTGGTTAGATATCCTCAGCACCTTATTAGTATCACCTTTATTTATACATGTTTTCAATTTGTATACCTCACTCATATTTTTCTTCATTACTATCCATTGAAAAAGTGTGTAGATTCAGGGCTCTCACTCTGTGTTCATAGGAAAAAATTCATCATTCTACATCACTGTTTTAACCCCTTGACTGTTGCAACCCCAGATCCTAAGGTGTCTCCTGGTGTTGCAAAATTTCAAAAAAAAAAAAAAAACAATTCTTATGAAATGGGAGAGAATCTTTTCTCGATTGTAATGACACCAAAAGAACAAAATTTGATGGAAAACTGACGGAATTACACTCTTGTGAAGTTAGCGACCTCGGAGATATTTACGAATCGGCAAATCTACATATTAACCCTTTCACTCCCTTGTGGCTTAGTGCTTCTTTTTTATTATAATAATAATAATAACCCTTTGACTGTTTCGGTCATATACAGTGGACCCTCGCCTAACGCTATTAATCTGTTCCTGAGAGCTCAACATTAGGCGAAATTATCGTTAGGCGAATTAATTTTCCCCATAAGAAATAATGGAAATCAAATTAATCCGTTCCTGACACCCGAAAGTATGAACAAAAAAAAATTTTTATCACATGAAATATTAGTTTTAATACACACAAACTGAAGAAGACATGCACAGTTGCATGACACTTAAGTTTATTGAAGATCTGGTGATGATTGATGGGATGGGAGGAGGGGTGACTGTGGATGGTGTTAATGTTTAGAAGGGGAATCCCCTTCCATTAGGACTTGAGGTGGCAAGTCCTTTTCCGGGGTTACTTCCCTTCTTTTAATGCCACTAGGACCAGCTTGAGAGTCACTGGACCTCTGTCGCACAATATATCTGTCCATAGAGGCCTGTACCTCCCGTTCCTTTATGACATTCCTAAAGTGTTTCACAACATTGTCAGTGTAATAGTCACCAGCACGGCTTGCAATAGCTGTGTGAGGGTGATTTTCATCAAAAAAGGTTTGCACTTTAAGCCACATTGCACACATTTCCTTAATCTTTGAAGTAGACAACTTCCTCAATTTCTCTATCCCCTCCTCCGAAGCAGTTTCCTCAGGTCTGGCCTCTTGCTGTTGAAGATGATCTAGCAGCTCATCAGTGGTTAGTACTTCCTTGTCCTCCTCCACCAACTCTTCCACATCCTCCCCATTAACCTCGAACCCCAAGGACTTTCCCAATGCCACAGTGGATTCCTCAACTGGCATAGGATTCCCAGGGTTAGCCTCAAACCCTTCAAAATCCCTTTTGTCAACACATTCTGGCTACAGTTTCTTCCAAGCAGAGTTCAAGGTCCTCTTAGTCACTTCCTCCCAAGCCTTATCTATAATGTTTACACAATTGAGGATGCTAAAGTGATCTCTCCAAAACTCTCTTAGAGTCAGTTGAGTTTCTGAGGTCACTACAAAGCACCTTTCAAACATAGCTTTTGTGTACAGTTTCTTGAAGTTGGAAATGACCTGCTGGTCCATGGGCTGCAGGAGAGAATGGTATTAGGAGGCAAAAACTTGACCTTAATGAAGCTCATTTCCCCAGAAAGTCGCTCTGCCACGTCTGAAGGATGACCAGGAGCATTGTCTAATACCAGGAGGCACTTAATGTCTAATTTCTTTTCAATTAGGTAATTTTTCACAGTGGGGGCAAATGCATGGTGAAACCAGTCATAGAAAAAGTCCCTAGTGACCCATGCCTTACTGTTTGGCCTCCACAGCACACACAAATTAGCCTTGAGGACATTGTTTTTCCTGAACACACTGGGAGTTTCAGAGTGATACACCAATAAAGGCTTCACTTTGCAATCACCACTAGCATTGGCACACATCAACAGAGTAAGTCTGTCTTTCATAGGCTTATGTCCTGGGAGTGCCTTTTCCTCCTGAGTAATGTAGGTCCTGCTTGGCATTTTCTTCCAAAACAGGCCTGTTTCGTCACAATTAAACACTTGTTCAGGTTTCAGTCCTTCACTGTCTATGTACTCCTTGAATTCCTGCACATATTTTTCAGCCGCTTTGTGGTCCGAACTGGCAACCTCACTATGCCTTATCACACTATGTATGCCACTATGATTCTTAAATCTCTCAAACCAACCTTTGCTGGCCTTAAATTCACTCACATCACCATTAGTTGCAGGCATTTTTCTAATTAAATCATCATGCAACTTCCTAGCCTTTTCACATATGATCGCTTGAGATTAGCTATCTCCTGCTATCTGTTTTTCGTTTATCCACACCAATAACAGTCTCTCAACATCTATCACTTGCGATCTCTGTTTCGAAAACAAAGTTGCACCTTTGGCAAGAACAGCTTCCTTGATTGCCGTTTTCTTGGCCACAATAGTAGCGATGGTTGATTGGGGTTTTGTGTACAACCTGGCCAGCTCGGAGACACGCACTCCACTTTCATACTTAGCAATGATCTCTTTCTTCATATCCATAGTAATTCTCACCCTTTTTGCTCTAGGGTTGGCATTAGAATCTTTCTTGGGGCCCATGGTGACTTATTTTGCAGGTGCAGTCACTAAAAAGGCTGTAATAATGTGAAATGTTCCGATTGTATGCTTGGTAGCGACCGCGGTGGCTGGCTTGTAAAGACTGGCACCCACGGAACAAGTGAGGCGGGCTCAGGCCGCACTTGGACGAGTCTCGAATGAATCGTGTTGAGCGAGTTTTTTAGCGCTAGCCGAGAGGCAAAATTTTTGTGTTAAAATGTATCGCTAGGCGGATTTAACATTATGCGATGCGTTCATTAGGCGAGGGCCCACTGTACTATATACGTCTTACGAGCCACCGTTTTTGACGTATATAAACTCATAAATTCTAGCGGCTACAAATCAAGCAGGAGAAAGCTGGTAGGCCCACATGTGAGAGAATGGGTCAGTGTGGTCAGTGTGCACCATATAAAAAAAATCCTGCAGCACGCAGTGCATAATGAGAAAAAAAAACTCCGCCCTTTTTTTTTAATTAAAAATGCAGACTTTGTGGTCTATTTTCGCATAGTATTTATGGTTGTATTCTCGTTTTCTTGGTCCCATTTGATAGAATGGAAAACATTTTATAGAAATAGAGGTCATTTTGATTGGTTTTACTATGAAAAGAACCTTGAAATGGAGCTCAAAGTAGGGGAAATGTTTGATTTTTGCCGATGTTCAAAAGTAAACAAGTGGTGTCATTTTCCAATAAATGTCCAAGTAACCATTCTAATATGCAGTCATGAATGGGTTGACATTATTTATACAATTTTTACAATATTGCAGTAGTCTGCATAACAGTAAATCTTCTATTTTTTTGTTTGAAAAAAATTCAAAATAGAAAGCAAGAGTATTATCATAGGGGCCTGGAGACGTGACTGATGAACAAAGAAAATGTTATTTTTGAGCTAGGAATGTCTGCATTGTTCATTCTGGACCCTATTTTAAAATTTTCGTGAAATTGGGCAAATTGCAAATTTCTGACCACTTTATTGGGTAGTTGAAATCGGTAAATGGGCAGTTTCTTGTACTCAATCGATAGAAAAAATGGAGTTCTAAAGAAATAGCTATGAGTTTTGTTGACTGGAACAATGGAACTAGCCAAAAATAGGGCTCAAAGTGGGCTAAATTGCCGATTCGTAAATATCGCCAAGGTCGCTAACTTCTCGAGAGTGTAATTCTGTCAGTTTTCCATCAAATTTCGTTCTTTTGGTGTCATTACAATCGGGAAAAGATTCTCTATCATTTCATAAGATTTTTTTTTTTTTTTTTTTTTTTTTTGTAACACCAGGAGAAACCTCAGGATTTGGGGTTGCGACAGTCAAGGGGTTAAAGGCTAACATTAGGATTTTATTGTCCCACTTCTGAATGTATATCACGGTATGGCTGTATACAGTGTACTGTTAAGTTTGTAGACTTAATTTTTGCGGCAGACATTTCTTGCAACATTTTGCTTAAGATTAATGCTACAGTTTTAATTTTTAAATTATGGTCTTCCTTTTTTCTTTAGTGTTTCTTATTAACATGTTTATATTTTCATTTTGCAGAAGAAGGAAACCCCAAACGCAAACTTAGAAAAAGACGTGCAAAACGGCAAGCAGTATCTCAGTTAATGGAAACCATTGCTCCGCCAGCTGAAGTTAGCACAGTGCCATCAGAGGAGAGTTCAGAATCATATGCTGTTTCATCTCGTGGACGTGTACGTAAAGTTAAAAAGATGATAAATTATGATGGCCTAGATTTTGAAAAACTTGCAATTCAGGCATCTGAGGAAGCTGAACAGGAGAGGGTAAGAAAAAGAAGGAAAAGAGAAGAAGAAGAAAGGGAAAGAGAAGAACAAGAAACTGAAGAAAATGTAAACTGCTCTCAGCCTTCTGCAGTGAGACGTTATCTTCTCTCCCACACAGGACATGTCATGGGGTATATTGACAATGATGGACAAGTCCATTCAGGGAGTACTATTAAAGACAGCCAAGCTGAAAAAGGAAAAGTTGACATATCAAATGTTAGAAATCTTGCTAGTCAGCTTGTAGCTAATGTCAAAAAAGAAAGCTCTCAGACACCACTAAGGACTGGTGTAATGTTCCCAAGAAAAACCTTTCAAAATACTAATTTAAAGCCTGGTGTGCCAACTGTTGTTGTGGCTGCCATAAATAGTCAAGGGTCTCCAGTGTATGTGAGAGTTGTGGGAGAGCAGGCTCTGCAACTAGTAAAGTATATGAAACCTAGTGTGAAGGGACCTGTATCTCAGATTAAACTTCAGCACCATGGTCAAACTTATACTGTTAATACTAATGCTCATATGATAACTCACAACATTCCAGGTCTACCTGATGGTGAAGCCAAAGAAAAACCTTCCAGTGTTAGTCAATCGACCATGACTCCAGCCATACCTACCTCATCGCTGGTTACAACAAAGCCTTCAACAAGGCTTGAGGGTTTAGCTACCAGCAATTCTCCAAGTGTGCCTCGAGTTGCTCCAATAACTTCAGTGGTGAGCAGTGTCTCTTCTCAACCCAATACCTTAGCTTTGGCATACAGAGGAATGACGAGACCCACTAGACCAATGACCGTTAATGCACCAGTTCGGACTCAAGGCTCCCTAGTCCCTGGAACTATAATGTATCAAGATCCTAATCGTCTTTCATCAGTGGCTCCCACCAGGCTAGTTACAGCCTCCCCATCAGTAGTGTCATCAGTAATGTCACCTACCATCAAAGCACCTGCTAATGCAGGATCTTCACATGTAACTCATAATTTAATCAATGTAAATCAACAAGCAAATAGACAACTATCACCCAGTATTATAGCTTCTTCCAGACCACAGGTTACACCTTTAGTGAGGACTGCTGTGTCCTCAGGTGTCACTCCAACAAATGCCATGCCGCATCAACAAGGTTCTTCAATAATGCAACAGCATACAAATTCTCAGCAACAGATAATAGCAGTCCAAGCCCCAACAGCTGTAGCAGCAACTCCAAATCAACCTTTGGGTCAGACTGTAACAGCCACTACCATAGCAGTTCCTGGTCCAGGGGGACAGCCACAAGTACAGCTTAAACTAGAATCCGAATCTTTAGCTCAGCTGATGCAGCGAACAGGAAGCAAAATAGTGGCTTTACCAAATGGCCGAGGTGGGTATACCTTGTCTCTCACACCAGGTGCAGTACAACCTGGCCAAGCAGGACAAAAAAATCAGACTCACTTATCAGCCAATGCAGCTGCTAAAGTCCAGGTTGTATCATGCAGTACAACTCCCTTACTTCAAGATACTCCACCACCTCAAACTGTCCAACAGCCTCCAGTCATCCAACAACAGAGTCATGTTATATCACAAGGGGTGGCCCAGGCAGCAACAGTAGTTCAGCAAGCATCATCTCAACAGTTGGGCATAAGGCAGATGATTCCAGTTAGCCAATCCCATGCTCCAGGTACAATTATTAAGGATACAAATGCTGGTACCCAAGTTGTGGTCAGTGGACAGCAAGCCGTTTACTCGAGGGTGGGTACTCAACAGCGAGTTTATAATAATCTGGTATCATCATCTCAGGGAACTAGGTGTGTCCCAGTCTCTACAACAACTGTAATGTCACCACAACAGTCAGTAAATAATGTAAGCACAAGTCAGTCATCCTGTGTGCTTCAAAAAGTTAATACTACACCTTCTCAATCTCCAAGTTACCAGACAAACCACAGTCAGCAGCAGTATGTTGTGCAACAGCGTGTAGTGACAGCAGGTACTCAAACAACTGTATCTCCCCAGTCTACCCAAACCGTAGCACAGCAGTCCACTACAGCATATAAACCAGTTATTGTCAATCAGCCAGTCCAACAAGGTACTCAGCAAGTAGTTAGAGTAGCTCAGGCACCTGTGCTTCAACAACAGCAAATAGTAAGATTACAGGCTGTGAGTGGTAGTCCTGCCACCACTCAGAAGCTTGTCCAAATTGTACAACCTGGTGGAGGACGTCAGGTGGTACAAATGGTGCAACAAGTTGTAGCAAGTCAAGGACAGCCAAATACAGGGCATCAAGGATTGATTTATGTACAAGGAAGTGGCCAAGTGTTACAACAACACCAGAAAAATAATTTGGGAACAGTCCACCATACACTGCAAGGAGCTACAGCTGTACAGCAGAGTCAGCCACAACAGAAACAAATTGGACAACAGAAACTACATCAACAAATAATAAGTCCGCAGCATTCAGCATTGCAGCAACAAATAACTGGGCAGTCACATCAACAACTTACACAACAACTTGTGCAACAACAACAACTAGTACAACAGAAGCAGCAACAGATATCACAACCTCAGCTTGTGCAAGATCAGCAGCAGCAACAAGTGGTGCAACAACATTTAGTACAGCAACAACAAATTGTTACACAGCAGCAGCAGCAGCAGCAGCAACAACAGCAGCAGCAGCAAATTATTACACAACAACAACATCAGATTGTTGCCCAGCAGCAACAAATTGTTACACAGCAGCAGCAGCAGCAGCAGCAACAGCAGCAGCAACAACAAATTGCTGTGCAGCAGCACCAGCCACAAAATGTTACACAACAACAACAACAAATTGTTTCTCAACAGCAACGTCAGGTTGTTACACAACAGCAACAGACAGCAGTTCAACAGCAGCAACCAGCAGTTCAACAGCAGCAGTCATCAGTTCAACAGCAGCAACCAGCAGTTCAACAGCAGCAACCAGCAGTTCAACAGCAACAACCAGTAGTTCAGCAACAAGGTCGATTGGTATTGGTGAGAACATCTCAGGGAGAACAGATGGGATTACAGTTGCCAGATGGCCGTGTATCATTGCTTACACCGGAGCAGCTGCAAACAGCAATCAGAAATGGTTCCATTAAAATCAACCAGCAGACTTAAGTTTTTTGCAAGTTTTTTACATTTGACTCTTATGGTTACATAGAGTAATTGTGTAACTGTTAGAAATGTAATGCAGAAAAATATTAATTCTGTGGTGTGGGACATGTAATTGCCAAATAAAATTTTTAATATGTATTTTACAAATACATTATTAGAACCAAACCAGATCCTGGTTTAATGCATTCAAGGTTTTTATATCAGTTTTTTTTATTGTATTAATGAAACACAATTTCCTTTGTGTGCACTAGCAAGTTGACAGCTGAATATGCCACACCAGTGACTTAAGTATGCACTTACTTTGCCGTGTTGTGATAAGTTGGTTTTCTTTCCTGTGATTGCCCTGTGCAGTGAACAACATTAGTTTCACCCAGTTAATCTTGAGAACAGTTGTGGCTGAAGTCCTTACTGAACTGTGACAAAATACATCACAACAAGGTTGTTAAAAAAAATCCAGCTATTGAGGAAAACATTATCAAATTCAAAAAGTTATAATATAAATATTGAAGTGTAATCAGCATCAACAATGTGATATAATGTATAATGTACCATAAAATTTAGTTGGCTTAAACATGTTTGTAATCATTCAGAAAATAAATGCCTAATGTATGCAATTAGGCAACAAAATGTTTCGTAAACATTTGTAAACACCAGGCAACTGAGTTGCTTACATGTTTAACTTATGTAAGGAAATAAATTATATCTTGTACAAATTATAAAATAAATTTTTCAATGCAAACACTGTTTATAAGACAATTACTGTCTGTAAAATCCTACAAATCTTTGTTAACTTTTATGCAGTATTGCATATATATGCATATGCAGTATTGCATGTACTGTATTTGTCTTTTTACGAGAAAAATTTTTTGGTAAGCTGTATGGTTATAAAACATCATAATTCATTTTCTTATTCACATGGAGGTTCTTCACCTATGTACAGTAGTATCTTAGCATGAAAGGCAAATATTGGTGCTAGTAACAAGCTTAAGGCTTAAAAAAAATCGACAACAGTAATGGTAATTTGGGATCACCATCTGTTCAGAAAGGGAATTCAGTTAGGGCAAATTATTTAGTAGGTTGTTGGGAGGAAATTAATGATTTCAAACAATATTTGCCAAATTAGATAAAGACAACAAAGATTGTGTAGTTTGGCTTATGAAAAGTAAAGGGAACAATTAAGATCTAGTCAATTTACAACAAAAGTACACTGGTTTTTGAAATCTTTATTATTATTGTTTAAAATATTTAATTATTTTAGGGTAATAGTTACAATACCTAGTTATCTTATTTATCAAGCTATCATAATCAAGGGGCAATATGCTTACACAGTACATCGTTTAGGTTGACTACTTGTGATAGGCATGGTGTTTGATCACTGGTAAAACCAGATCTGGTAATATGCAGTATTACATGCCCTAAACTATGCAAATTTTTCTTTACTGGAGGATGCCATATTGTGGAAATGTGTGCAACTGGCTCATGAATATTATACAAAAGCAGTTTTTCTTGCCAATCCCATGTTTTATCAGAAAATTAATGTTGCTAATCACATAAAACAGTATTCCTAGGAATTATTAATTTATTAAAAACATATATGAAATAAATGCTTTATCCAGTATAGTTTTAAAACTGATTATGTTCACATTAAATTTTTGGATAAAAATGCTTCCTAAACAATTAACTGATAGATTACAAGAACCTTCCTTTTTTTTTTTTTTTCTCCCCAAGTTAAAAATCTTTTATTTATGGCTTAGAATAAAAAATTTTGTGGAGTGTCTTCTGTTTTTGGTTTCAGTTACAAACACTGCATCCACCTTTATTTTATTTATTTTTTTTTTAATTAAACTTTTGGCATGGCTCACTTGTTAGATGCATACGGTAATGCCAAGAAATGAATAATAACAGTGTAATAAAATTCATAATCATTGTTATCCTTTTCCCAGTTGCAGAAAAAAATGCTCAAATGAGGTACAGTATTTTATTTATGTTTATGGTAGCACTAAAATCTATTTGGCCTGTTGATTATATTTTCTGAAATACAGTGAAGAGCCAGTATGTGGTCCATTTAATGTGAGCTTTTGTTTTATATATCACTAACAAGACCAATTATGCAGAATAGTGGCTGGTTCACAGTGAAATGTGTGTATTTTCCAAAGAAATTACTCAAGCAGGAGTTAATAAATCATGTGATGCTCATAAAATATCTCTTCATACCCTTGCAGTGGAGCAATTGTGAGTAGGAAGATAATTGTATATACAGCATTGTACAATATAAAAGTCCAGGATAATAATGGTCTAGTGTTTCCCATAATAACAAAAAGTAAAATTTTGTCAAAACAAGAAACTTAAAAACTAAAATAAATAATTTTGGTAATGTATACTCTAACAAAGAAAGCTAAAATCGTTCCAAATTTTAGAAAAAATATGCATTATTTTGAATAAACAAGGACAAACAACATGCTCTGTTTGTAGCATTCCATTAAGGGATATGCTCTTGATCCAAGGATTTCTTTTTTAAATATGATTACCTCCCATTGCTCAGGTGCTGCATGCGTCCTGCAGGTTAAGTGTATCTTGAAGATAATGAAAATATTTTCTGCACACCTCAGCTGTTTGTCACTACGTAGGGTGGCCTAATGATAGAAATCATTCACCCCGTCACTCATTCACTTGCAATCTGTTTTTCTTTTAAAGATAAGTGTAGCACTAATCCTCCTGTCCTTGGATTTATTCGCACTTCATGAACCTGTTCTGCTGCTTTCTCATTACTCAAACTACATCAGCAACCCTCCACACAGTCATCTAATTTCTATAGTCCTTTAACCTCTCCATATTCACTCCACAATGATTTCAAACATACAGTAATTCCACTGCCTCCAATGTGCTTTCCTCAGGTTGCTCGGCAAACATCGATGTGATAGTCCAGTTCAGTCCAGACGCCCTGCAGCATTTTTGGTGTTTTGTGAATACTTCAGTGATCGAAATTTTCAGCTCCTCTAGGGTTGCAGGTAGTGGTGGTACATAAACTGTGCTCCTCACATACCCCCAAAGAGAGAAGTCACAAACAGGTCCAGTGACCTCTGCAAGTGGCCTGCGAGGTCACCGGACCTGTTTGTGACTTCTTTCTTTGGAGGTACGTGAAGAGCATAGTTTACATACCACCACTAAATGCAACCCTGGAGGAGCTGAAAATTTTGATCACTGAAGCAGTTCGCATGATAACACCAGATATGCTGCAGAGCGTCTGGACTATCGCATCGATGTTTGCTGAGCAACCGGAGGGGAGCACATTGAGTGCCTTTAATGCTACCCTATACCACATAAAACTGAATGAAATATTGCATATGAAGCTACTAACTGTTAAAGATTATTACAATAAAGTTACATGTTATACCTGTTTGAAATCAGGGAGTGTTTTTATGGACACCCTGTACAATGGGTGTGCATAGGGTAGGGATTAGTGCAGGTGTAAAATCGAAATCATAGTTGGTTTAATTGGTCAGTTTCCATTAAAATGTCATAACAGTTTATGCAAAAGGTTGGACTTTCAGGGAGGAAGTCAGAGTGTGTTACAGTGGAGTAGATGTCAGATGTGAATCCTGTGTGCTCTCTGATAGGACAATCTATTAACATGTGATGAACATACAGTGGGACCTGGCAATCCTCAGAGTGGTGCCAATTGATTTTTCATGTACTGGTTGCAAGGGTCAAGTTATTGCTCCTGGCCCCCGCCTCTTCACTGGTTGCTATTAGGTCCACTCTCTCTCCTCCATGAACTTTATCATACCTCTTAAAGCTATTTATGGATCCTGCCACCACTACATCGCTTTCCAGACTATTCTACTTTCTAACAACTCTATGACTGAAGAAATACTTCTAGCATCCCTGTGACTCATCCAAGTCTTCAACTTCCAATTGTGACCCCCTTGTTGCTGCATCCCATCTCTGAAACCTTCCTGTCCCTATCCACCTTGTATCTCAGTGAGTCATGTGTGACTTTCACACTCATGAGAGTGCAGTTCCCTAAACCTGACAGTGATGGGAAGATGCCTAGAATCCCAGTTGTCATTTGATGGAATACAATTTGCTGCATTCCAACCCAGACCAATGTTGCTGGTGATTTTGGAATTATGAGAACTGAAGAATAATTCGAGAAGGAATACCCCTTACAGAAAATTAGGTCATGAATAGCTAGAGTGTCCTGAACATTGGCATGTCAGGGACTCAGCAAAAAAGACTTCTTAACGTTTACTAGAAATAAGAGAAAAAATTTATAAGGACAATGGATGAGGAGAGTCAAATTTCCGTATAGCTTGTAACACACTTTGGGAGTCAGCAACGACGTAATATGATACGGAATGAGTTGCATTGTTTATAATAGAGCAAGAATAAGGTCGTAGTAGGAAAGCAAGCTTTTAGGCATAGTATCATTTTGCTATTCTCATAACACTACAGTCATACGCTCTCGCTAGGAGCCGATTTGTAGTTCTATTGCAATAGCAGCGGCCCCATGTAGTGTGATTCAGACAAAGCACTACCAGGGAACATTTTTTGGCAATGTTTACCAGAGGTTCAAGAGACTGCAGTTATGGCTGCAAAGAAAACAGAGGTAGCATGCATATATAACAACTTGTATGCAAAGGACCCCTCAAGAAAGGTTCCATGATGTTGGTGAGGGGCTCTTGATCTAGGGAATTGGATCTGTGCTCCAGTTCCCTGAGTTAAACTTGAATACCTTCCACATTACCCCCCACAGATGCTGCATAATCCTATGGGTTTAGCACTCCTCCCACATGGGTTTAAATTTTCCAGCACTAAAACCCACCAAATTACTTTCACTAGATGCTCTGTCATCTCCGACCATCCTTTGTACCTCTGTGGCTCCCGTATCCCTGAACGTGACACAGTCAAGTTTCTGGGCCTCCTCTTTGACCGTAGGTTATCCTGGAAACCTCACATTACCTCTCTGAAGGCAACTTGTCACAGCCAGCTGAACCTTCTTAAAACCCTTGCTCATCTTTCATGGGGAGCTGATCGTCGAACCCTCCTTTGCCTACATTCCACCCTCATTTTATCGAAACTTGATTATGGTGACCAGATCCATTCAGCGGCATCTCCTGCTATTCTCTAGCCTTAACCCCATTCATCACCAAGGATTACGTTTATGCCTTGGTACTTTTCGCTCTTCCCCTGTTAAGAGCCTCTATGCAGAAGCGAACGTTCCATCCTCATCCGATCGCCGTGATGCCCATTGCCTTCGCTACTATGTACGCTCTCATGATCTCTGCAATCCTTCCATTTATAGATGGTCACTGATATTAGTAGACATTCTTTATTTGTTCGCCACCCCTGTTTACTCCGTCCCTTCTCTCTTCGCCTACATTCGCTCGTCTTCTCTTCCATTACCACCTTTCTATGTTCATGTAGCATCTCACTTTTCTCTACCCCCCTGGGAAGTTCCAGCTGTTCGAGTCTGTTCTTTCTCTCTCCCTTGCTCGAAAGCCCAGCTGTCTACGGTCGCTTCCCGCTCTCTTTTTCTTGACCACTTCCACTCTCATTCTCATGCCATTGCAGTGTACACAGACGGCTCTAAATCTTCTGACGGCGTAGGATTCGCAGCAGTGTTTCCGGACAGTGTCGTACGAGGGCATTTACTATCTTCGGCTAGTATTTTTACTGCTGAATTGTATGCCATTCTTGCAGCACTTATCCGTATTGCATCTATGCCTGTGTCATCATTTGTGGTTGTCTCAGACTCCCTTAGTGCTTTACAGGCTATACAGAAATTTGATACACCTCACCCCTTAGTCCTCCCTATCCAACTTCGGCTACGCCGCATCTTTACCAAGCATAAAGATATTGTTTTTTGTTGGGTCCCTGGTCATGTTGACGTACTGGGCAATGAACAGGCAGACACTGCTGCGCGGTCAACATTATATGACCTACCAGTTTCATATAGAGGTATCCCATTTATGGACTATTTTGCTGCAACAGCTACCCACCTTCACACCCGTTGGCAACAACGTTGGTCTACTATGCTCGGTAACAAACTTCAATCTATTAAACTGAGTATAGGTTACTGGCCGTCTTCTTGTCACCAGTGTCGAGGTTGGGAGACTACTCTCTCCTGTCTTCGCATTGGCCATACTCGTCTTACTCATGGAGAGGCGCCCTGCTCCTCTCTCTGAGAATTGTCAGGTTCCATTATCAGTCAGCCACATTCTATTAGACTGCCCACTTTATCAACGACCATGCAGAATTTACCTCCGTCGCCGTCTTCGCTCCGCTGCTCTCTCTTTACCTTCCCTTCTCGCTGATGGACCCACCTTTCATCCGGACTCTCTCATTGACTTTTTGACAACAACTGACTGACTTCACAAACTCTGATACCTTCAGCCCTTTCTACCTCAATCTCTTGCTACCCTCTACCCCTGCACTATCCCCTGCCCCGCTGTTTTCTGTAACCTACTGATCGTCCCTCCCCCCTTCTGCCGCCCAATACCCTCGCTTCCTTCCCTACCCTGCAGCGCTGTATAGCCCTTGTGGCTTAGCGCTTCTTTTTTATAATAATAATAATTAGCACTCCTCCTTGATTATAATAATGCACGCAAAGGATGAATAATAAGGAAGCGACAATGTTGGGTGTAAGATAGATAAGTAATGAGAAAGACCATTTACTACTGTCTAATCAAAGTGCAGTATTATAGAATAAGAGATTATACAACAACTTCAGTAGGGCTTTCGATAGAGTTCCATATCAGAGGCTATTAAGGAAACTTAAGGCATACTGAATAGGAGAAATTTTTTCCTGGGTAGAGGCATGGTTGACAAATAGGCAGCAGAGAGTTAGCATAAATGGGGAGAAATTAGAATGGGGGCATGTCACAAGCTGTGTTCCACAGGAGTCAATGTTGGGCCCCTTGTTCATAATTTGTATAAATGACACAGATGAGGGAATAAATAGAGACAAGCAAATTTGCTGCTGACACCAGAATAGGCCATCCAATTCATTCTAATGAGGACATCAGAGCACTCCAGGATGATTTAGAACATAAGAATGGAGGAACACTGCAAAAGGCCTACTGGCCCATGCAAGGCAGGTCCTTATAAGAACATAAGAAAGGAGGAACACTGCAGCAGGCCTGCTGGCCCATACTAGGCAGGTCCTTTACAATTCATCCCACTAACAAACATTTGACCT